CGCCGGGGCGCCAGAGGGCGCTGCGTGGGAGCTGCAGCGGGCGCCGAAGCCCCGCCGGTGGTTCTCAAACCCGAGCGCGCCGGAACCGCCCGCCGTCGCCTAGAGGTTCCGATTCAGTTGGGCTGGGCCCTGGGATGCTGTCTTTGCAGCGTGTGCCCCAGGGATGCCCAGGTTGCAGCTCCCTGGACCACACTTTGTCTACACGGATCTAAGTACCCGGACAAAGTACTAAGGACTGGCAGGCTTTATGCAGCTGGTACGTGGTCAGTGCAATCTTTATTTCCATTATGGTTATAGGATTTATTATTTTTTACACATGCAATGCACATTACGTGTAGGAAAAACAGCAAATACAACTAAAAAGAGGAAATAAGAACCACACAGTCCACAGAAAATGGAATGGAGGCTTGAGCCATCCTATTCTGAGATGATTCTTGCCTTCATGCGCCAGACAGACGCACAGCACCCACCAGCTATGGGCCAGGCCCTGGGCTTCAGGATGGGGCAGGACACGGACACCCCGGTGGAGAGCTGCATGGTGCCGTGTTGGCGGTGTTGTCAGGGCAGAGGGGCTTCTCTGCCGCTTGACAGAGGCAGGTGATGGTCGGGGAAGGTTCCCGGAGAGCACAGCTCCATTTTCATGGTTCAAGAAGTAAAGTTCAAATGATAACAGAAACGATGGACGTTTCATATGTTACCTCATTCACTTTTATCCTCACAACGACTGTATGAACCTGATATCACTGTCCCAGCTACAGAGAAGAAAACTGAAGCACAGAGAGATTTAAAGACTGTCCCAGTCATATGGCTGGTCAGCCATGAAGACATTGAGCAAATCGGAGCCTCTCTGAGCCTCAGTTTCCGTCTGTAGAGAAAGGCAGTCATTCCCTGCACCCTGGGGCCATGAGGATGAAATGATGAGGCGTGTAGAGTGCTTTTAGCAGGTGCCTGCCACCGACAGCATGTGTAATAAGTAAGGATAGTAATAAGAGTGGCTGCTGTTTGATCTAGACATTGAAAGGATGGCATTAGGATTTCACCCCTCTTTCCATCTCAGAGTTCACTCTCTGTGTTGGCTCCACTCTGGCAGGACCCGCAGTGCCACGCTACCCTCCCAGTGGAATGAGCCCTTCTTTCGCAATAGTTTGAATCCACTGGCCTTTGTTGGGTTGCATGGCCTTCCCTAAACTGCCATTGAGACCAAGAGGTGAAGTTCTTGTTGGCCTAGCCTGGATCGTGTGAAACAAAATCCCAGTACTGTTTCCCAGAAGTAAATGGGAAAGATGGCTGGGCAGGCAAGTAACAGCTGTCCACCACGCGTGTACGATTCCACCAGAACCCTGTGAGGTAGCTCTTGTCCTCCCACTGGACCAAGCTGGGGACTAAGGTGCAGAGCAGCAGAGAGCCAGGGACTAGCAGAGTGGCACCTGCCTGATGGAGTCTCTTTGGTCTCAGGCACCTTGCAGTCCAGCCCTGTGATCCCGTCTCCATCTGGGTCCCTCAGCGGCTCCCAGGATGACAGCGATTCCGATATGGCCTTCAGTGTCAACCAGTCCTCCTCGGCATCTGAGTCATCCCTGGGTAAGGAGATGCAGAT